TGTATCCGAGGACATCTCTACTGCAGAGTAGCCGAGGCGTCGGCGGCGGACCTGATGCATGTGCGTGCCGAGGCGTCGGCGGCGGACCTGATGCATGTGCGTGCCGAGGCGTCGGCGGCGGACCTGATGCATGTGCGTGCCGAGGCGTCGGCGGCGGACCTGATGTATGTGCGTGCCGAGGCGTCGGCGGCGGACCTGATGCATGTGCATGAGTATTTATGTGCGTGAGTTGCAGAGTAGCCGAGGCGTCGGCAGCGGGCTTGATGTATGTGCAGTGCGGAGTAGCCGGGGCGTCGGACGCATTGCAGTTGCAGAGTAGCCGAGGGGTCGGCGGCGGACCTGATGTGTGTGCATGAGTTGTAGGGTGGCCGGAACCAGGTGTTTTGTGTGTATCGCGTCGCAGGTTGGGGTGCCGCGTTGCACGACCCTTCAAAGCGTGCCTACCAGGCTCCCCGGTTTCCTTTACGATTGTGTGTGCGCTTAGTATGCCTCTGAATAGATGCGCGTCAGTCGCCTGGGAACCATCCTCATGGTGGCGCCGCGTCAGTCGCCGGGCAACCATCCTCGTGGTGTCGCCGCCAAGGAACCGCACTCCGCTGTACGTACCCCCGAGCCGTGCTCGATACGCCTCACCTGCCGTGCCGGCGTTAGTGTGCCTGACCATAGAATCCTTGTAGCCGTTGGTACTCCCCACAGCTTCCCTGGCTCCCTTCTCGCTCGCTCTCCGCTCCACTCGCCGGCGGCCATGTCGGCGTTAAGGAGTGCGTGATCGGATAATCCTCGTAGCCGTTGGCACTCCACACGGATTCCTTAGCTCACTTCTCGCCCACTCTCTGCTCCACTCGCCGTCCGTCGCAGTCGACGACTGCCGTTCGCGCCTCTCGGCTCTGCTGCCAGCGGCGCGCCCGTTCCTACACTCCCCTTCGCACCACCCCTAGTCAGGGTCTGCTCCGCGTCTGTCGGCGGGGTGATTTATCTGTCTCCGACCCCCGTCTCCCTTTGCTCCGGTCACGTTCAGTGGCGCCCGGGCAGGGTCCTAACCTTCCATAGCCGCGTCGCCGCTATGAGTTGAAAACTGCGTCTCGCAGCCGCAGAGAGGGCGTGCGCGGGGCGCTCTATCCTGCATCAGAGCCGGACTGAGGAGGACACGACCCTCGCCTCAGAGCACGGCGGTCAGAGCAGACGGAGGAGCAGACAGCCCTGCCGGCGCGGCGGTCAGGGGCGGGTCGCAGACGGACGCCGCTCTCCACTATCGACATATCCATGCAGACGGCACGCGGACAGCGCTGGGGCGGACACCGGAGCACCTCCCGGGGCGGTCCGCCTCTCAGCTATATCAGTAGGCGGAACTATGGTCATGAGTACCCAAATATAGGAACGTTCCCATTTTTGGGAACGGAGTTCCCAAATATGGGAACGGGCGTTCCCATTTATGAGAACGGAAGGCAATTTTTCGGCCGTTCGCCCACTAAAACTCAAAAGTGCATCACGTCTCAAAAAAGTGCACGCTGATTTAAGTATCTACTAAATCTCCATAAAGTTATCTTTAATCTGACCGTGGAACAAGGAAATTGACCGTGGAATGATATTTTTAATGATTTTTTAAAAATGACAGAATGGTGGAAATATGGGTTATACGACATTTAACATGCAATTTTAAGGAAAATGAAGCATTTTTTACATTTTGAGGTCAAGTATAATAATTTTCGCCTGGTTATGAAGTTTCATTCTAGCGACACCAGATGCTGACATATGCAAGCGAACACGCGGACAGTCCCGAGGTAATATTGTTGACTTTTGGTGTCGGGGCGATCGACCGCGTGGAACGTCAGTGATTTTACCGAACTACTGTTGTAAACTCAGTTTCAGTGGTTTAAAATCATTCAGCTGTATTTTATCAGCCCTGAAAGACATATTTTATTTGGATGCTAGCTGTTTGGCGTTGTTTTATAAGCAGCGTCATGAGCGTGGTTTTTGTCTTCGGCGTTTCTAAGCATGATCGTTTGGAGGGAATTTCTCTGATATAGGTCGCTCTGTGTGGCTTATTTATAATTTTTATGCTGATTTCGATCGTTCCTCGTGCCCATCCTACCAGGCCTTTTGCCACTACACTCATTAAGAAAGGAAAAAACTAGATTTTCATTGGGACTAGGTGTTTTGAGGGTGTAACATATTCAGCGTTCCCATTTTTGGATACTTCTTGTGCTCGTCAACTCTCGGTGATTAGCAGACAGGTGCTTGACATGTCTCCACCCTCGGCGCGGACGGTGGATATAGGTATGGAAGACCTTGTTGAACATCGCTGAGCGTTGTGGATTACGTAATCCTGCAGAGGGGGGCGTGCCCGCTGCGAGATCGACGGGAATAAAAGCGCAGAAGACCGGGCGAAACATGCAACGGTCTTGCCGGAAAGGTCATCTGATGATTGTTGCATTAACAATAATTTGCGGCGTTGGACGTGATGCTTGTTAATGAAAAGAGCCCCTGAAAGGCGTCGGTGAAATCGTTCCCAATTTTGGGTACGCCGTTCCCATAATAAGGAACGCTTGCAGCGCCAGTATACGAGAGCGTTCCCAAATTTGGGCTCGCGGCCCGGGTGATGGACTGCTTTAGAAATAGGGGAACGATTTGAAACTACGATGGGCCTTACAATATCAAACTCTTTCCCAACAATATTGAGACAACTATCAGGCGGTTCACGATCGTTTTATATTTTTTGGACGTCATTTAACGGTTCTTTTTCTTGTTTTAAATAATGCCTACATGGCGTTCCCATATTTGGGTTTATCGTTCCCAAACATGGGAACGAAAATGCGTTCCCGAAAATGGGTACGCTTGACCATAGTTCCGCCTACTGATATGGACTGGACTGTGCAGTAACCTCGTGGAGAGGATACAGGGGATTTAATATGCATTTCCTACACATCACCCACAAACATTCCCAGAAACTGGCCTGCTCTTCCTTTATTTAAGTTCAAATTAAATCAGAATGACGAGCCAGACGAAGTCGCAAGGTCGGAACTCCCCGTTTGGGAGATGCTGGAATGCACTGTATACCTTGTGACCCCTCTGAATGCGCCATGAGCCGACCAAAGCCGCGGTACAGGCTGCAGCTGCCGGCGCTGTAAACACGCACCAGAGCTGCTCGTACGACCACCTCAGCAGACGGGCGAGCGGCGCGTCGGTGCGGTATTTTCGGCGGCCGGCGCTGAGCGATGTCTAATCCGGGGCGTGAGTCGGCCGGCGGCGGTAAACAGGACTGGGAGCTGCGGCAGCTCGGCCACCCCTCCCCCTCCCCCTCCTCTGACGGGTGCCCGGTGATAAGCGGCGCTGGGGCCGACCCGATCACGCCCCGCGCCCACCAGCTTTGTCATTCAAATCAGCCAATTTAAAAGTGCGTGCCCGACCGGGACGAGTGGGAGGCGGTGCAGGGCTGAGAGTGTAAAGTACGAAGCTTGGGTACTCGGTGTGAGGCTGTGGGTGAGACTGCGGATACTCGGTGTGAGGCTGTGGGGTGGGGACTGGGGATACTCGGTGTGAGGCTGTGATGTAGGACTGTGGATACCCGCTGTGGGGTGGGTACTGCGGCTGTGATGTGGGACTGTAGATACTCGCTGTGGGGTGGGGACTGTGGATACCCGCTGAGGGCTGGGGACTGCGGATACTCGGTCGGAGGCGGACCTTATGTGCTAAGGCCATGCTATCCAGATGATGACTGGTGTATCGGTGCGCAAACAGTCCTATCTGATGGCACAGCACGGATTAAACCCGTCCAAGCTCTGCGCGGGGAGCGAATTCCCTCACCGTGCCGGGTGCCCACGCCGCACCGCTGTACAGTCTCCAGTCTGCCCTACCGCGGCCCAGCCGAATCCAACAGCCGCGGACTAGGGCATGCACCACATGCACATATTTCTTAGCAGGATGGTTTCAGGATGGAAATTACATATAGGGATTTGGCGAGCCAATAGGTTATGGCAGTCAAATCAACGCTAACGGTCGTAAATGGGCCGCGCTAACTGTTTTCGGGGTGCAGTCTGGCGCAATCTGGACGCTTTAAACGAGTTATAACGAGCAGCCAGGTCAGCCATTAATAAAAATGAAAACTGTACGACCTTGGAGGTCGACCAAAACGGCAAATTTCATTCCTGACAGCAGATTCATTGTATAAAAACTACAGCTATAGCCACCATATTGCGTCTGGCGATAAATTTCAACTAACGTTTTAGAACGGCCGAATACTAAAAGACAGTCGCCTTTTGGCTGGGATTTGTCTTGTGAAAGTTTTATCTAGTCAACGGCACTTGACAAAGGTTTTGGAAGCTTTTCTGGATCACTGAATATCTGTCTCGTAAATATGGCTTTATCAGGGAGCGCTCCATCTCCACGCTGAGCGGTGAAGAAGAGCTCATAAATCCGTCACCAGTCGTAAAACACGACGTGCGTCATCCATTTGAGAGCTCGCTGCCCGGCAAACGGGTTTTAGCGAGTCATAAGCCGCATCTGTCTGCGTGAGGTACATAAATCATGCGTGTGATAATCGACAGGACCGGCTGAAATGTGTCTCCCTCGTGCGTCCCTTGCGAGGCCGCATTGTGCTGTGATGGACGATGATAGGCGCTACTGAGTGTTGCGGATATTTTTTAACTATTTTTCCGTGAAAAAAAAAACCTCCGAATATCGGCTTACCCGGCACTCGGCAGTTCTGCTGTCATCGCTCACAGGATTATTATGTCAGCAAAACATTGGGAATATTATTTTAGAATGACATTTTGCTACTAAAAAATGAATAAATGCGACCATTGAAAACGGTTTTAACCATACTAACGACAAAGTTTCCTTCAAAATATACTAATCTCACTAAGTGTTATAAAGATATTATAAGCATACCCTAAATACCGTGCCCGTAGCACGTGCTATCCCTGTGTAACAATCGGTCACTCTTTTCTGTTGAATGTTGGCCAGCTCTGTGTTCAGTTGCCCAGCGGCGATCTCGGACTTACCGAGCAGCGACACCAGCACCAGGCAGAGTCCGGCCAGCACCAGGGTGGCCAGCTTCCAGCTCCAGCGGCGGCCGCCGGTCGGCAGCAGCGCCGGCTTCGAGTAGCTGAACGGAGGGTCGGCCGGCGGCCGGTGCAGGCTGTGCCGGCCCGGCAGCGCCGCTGAGCCGGCCGAAGCGAACCCCATCGCGTACCTGGGGGCGCGGGGAGACATTGGTCAGAGGGACTGACCGGGCAAGCCGCAGAGCCGGCCGAAGCGAACCCCATCGCGTACCTGGGGGCGCGGGGAGACACTGGGTTAGTCAGGAGGTATGTACCGAGGGTGCGACTGCATCAGAGTGCACCGAAGGAGGGACACTCGGTCAGAGGGCGCCGAAGGCGGAGACACTCGGTGCGAGGGCGTCGAAGTGGACTGGATGACACACGCGGGGTCTGTGGGCGAGGCTGGTGAGACAGGCGCGTGCTGGGTGATTATGGGAACCTGTCATGGAATGAACACTTGATACATCGTATGCCGACAATCACAAGGCATGTACGGGCCTCCAGGTATTAAGTGGCTGGTTGCCAGCATCACAATAAGCGATCTGCATTGATGAATACGTCTATGGCTGCATGAAAACCATTGCCGAAGTGTGTTTGCCAAATAAATGACTAATGAGTGAAGTTCTCAGTTCTTGAAATCTTTGAGCATCGAGGCAGCACAGCCTAGCGTCGTATAAAGATAAAAATAGATAAAGCTAAGGGTTTCCCGTGTAGTTTCCTTCCCATGAATTAACCTCTCAATGAAATGAGTACTTTCCACGTTGCACATAGGTACACGTATTCGCACCCGATTTGAAACGAATGAACCGGCGTTGCATGTCGATTGCCATGTATTCTCCGTCCATGACAGTGACATGAAGGTCGTGCAAGGCGCGCCGGGCAATCGTTACCATCCATTGTCGGTCGGTGCACGGCGCCGCCGCGCTGGCAGAGACCTATGCAGCATCAGTAGCGACAATGGATGATCGAGCTGGCGCCCTTTGTGCTATTAATACTTACGCCGGGCCGACCATGTATTGAGGCTGCGCCGGCCTGATGAAACTTGACGATGTTTTGCACGGCAGGTGTGGCATGGCTTTTATTGGAATGCCGGCTCCCTGCTTTTTGTTGTGAGCGAGAAAATAAAATTGTAAAAGAATGTACATATTCAAACATAGGATGCCATTCAAAAATGTATTCATAGATTATGACAAAATCATAGAAAATCATCAAATCACCGAAGAAAATCACTTTCCATAATAGCCGTTCTCAACACCGTCGAAAGGATAGGGGGCGGCCGGTTTTTAGTTTCGGCCGGTTATTGACTCGGCGTCAACAGAGCCGGCCGAGCCATTCGATGCCCGGGGCTGCGCAAACACCAATCCATTTTCCGACTTCCAATCCGGCACATCACGCGTGTGCGGCGACACGAATGCCGGCACTAAGCGAAACACACAGTCCCGACGGCCTATAAATTCCTGTTACACAAAACGGAATTCACGAGCTTCGTTTAGGAGCCCAGAAACCAGGTGCTATTGTTTGTTTAGTCGGTAGGCATACAATGTGAAATGAGTTCGTTGCGTATTTTGCGTATTTCGCATCTTTTATAAAATAATATCATGAGCTGTTAAAGCAAATCGAACACATTCTCCGCAGTACCTTACGCCCAGTCAATCACTGTGACGAATTGACGTCATGATATTTGCACGCATCAGCGGGACAATTTTGACGCAGTCAGCTGCGATCTATCGCCCATGATCTCAAGAGAAATCAGATCTAATTGCACGAAACATGTTCGGATAGCTCAGGAACTATGGGCGGAGTTGCGCGCCCCGTAGGCAGTGTATGAGGTTGGCTCAGTGCCACTTCTCTAAAAGCATGTTTCATGTCAGCAGTGCCATACATTTCGTCCGCGGACGGAGGGCGCGCACAGCGTGGCTTCCACTTTATTCTCGGGAATGACAAAGGAGGCGAAGTTGGTCGGCGTGCTGTCGCCAAGTTGGCCTGTTCCCGTCCCGGCGGCGGCCGTCATTGGAAGCCAAACAGTGCCGCCGCTGACAGGTCGTCCATACCGGCGGGTGATTAACTCGCGGCAGACACCGCGCCCATGGCAGCGCCGACCGACCGCTGATACATGGCCGGACAAAACGCCGCCCGTCCGCGGTCCGCCGACCGCCGGGGCGGCACGCACTGCGTGGGTAGAGACGGTGCGGCGCCCAACACGACTGAGCTGAAATACGTGCAGCCTCAAACGTGATTAAGCGTTATGTAAAATGTTGACTTTAAAAAATGGCGACATGACATGATATTAACCCGCTCCCCGCTGGAACTCGTGGATTTCCACGCCCATGCGGGGGGAGCCCGGTGCACCGCCCCTCTACTGACAGGAGCTCGGCGTTCCATACCGCTCTGCTGCCCGGAGCCCTTCGTCCCACTCGGCTGACCGAGCCGGGTGCGTCGTCTGTCGTCTGTCGTCTGTCGCCATCTCCGCGGCGACCGTCGGCTAGGAGAGCAGCACCTGGCATCCAACACATTACTGCGGCCCTCGGCCCTGTACCGGCACATTACCGCGGGACTGGGAGACGGGAGACGTGCTCGGGTTCCTCGGCTGTCACCCGAACATCCCCGGCATGTTTATTGGAGCGGTTTGTCTGCCGCGCCGCCTGCACCCAGCGGTCGTGGAAATGGATCAACACACCTGTCATCGCTGGGATAAAAACTTCGCCCCGGTGTCACAGCGCATTGGCCTAGTTTTGACTAGGCTAGATAATAAATCAAGAGGTATGTGAGTGGTAATGCTACCTTTTCTTTATTCAAAAAGTCGAAGGAAGTCCAAGAGAAGTGTTTCATCTCTCGCGGCTGATTGGCCTTCAGAGCATTTCGTTGTCGTTTGTGACGGGCTGAGAGCGCTGCCGTTCTTTCCGTGGTGTCGTTTATGGCAGGCTCAGAGCACTGCTCGGTCACTCCGTTCGCCGGAGCGCGCTGTGACGGGCCCATAGTGCTGCCGGTCTATCTCTTCGCCGGAGCGCGCTGCATCTACCGCGCTGGCGGCGGCGCGGGGGCTGATCCCCGGCATCCATCATCGGTCCACTGGATAACCATGTGTAGACATCACCTGAACCAGGGGCGGCAGGTTCGCCATCTATCACCGGTGGGCGACCCATCTCTCGCCATCTCCCTTCCCTCCCCGTCAGCCGCGCTATCTCGCCCCGGGCCATAGACTGCTCGGCGGCGGCAGCGGGCCGAATCAAAGGCCACTGATCCGGGCGGGGAGGCGCGCCGGCGCCGGTGCCACCGCCGCCGTATTCACCGCCGGCCATCCGTCTCGGTTTAATTGGCCCGCGCGGCCGGCCTGCCAGCGGCAGTCTGCCGATTTCCGCGCCGGCGGCGGTGGACTGGGAGCCGGGCGGTGGTGGAGGCACCCGACCACGCCCTCGGCAGCGGCGCTCGGACGGAGGGGTGCGTGCCGCGCGCGTCGGCAGCGCCCATGGCAGCCGCGCCGGCGGCCCGGTTATTTCCGGAGACACTGCACACGCGACCGGCACGCAGGCTAGGATTCCTGCGGATGGGCCCTGGCAGTGGCAGTGGGGTCAGGCAGTGAGCAGCAAGGGTGGCGGCGGCGGCAGGTGGCCGATTGTGTGAGAGCTGGAGTAGCTAAGATCCTGCCACCTACTATCCAATTCCTCTACCTTCGTCTTTTTCCAGTTAATTTAAGTGCACTATATTTAGAGCAGAAATGGATATTTCGTTAGGCAGATTGAGCTTTCGTTCCAATTTCGAATTAATTTTGCAATGTTGGTGTAATATTTGTGGCGCCATTAACTCTGCGAATTACAGATGTCGACCACCCTGTGACTTCAATTTCCTGTGATGTTTCATAGCATAAGTTTATTATGTGTGTACGACCATGCGCTCCGGGGCATGTGCCCGCCATATAACTCCCTGCACGTCGTCGAGTGACATTTATGTATTCATTTCATTGCACGGCGGTGATGTCTCAGCTTTCCCCAGCACCGCCGCGGCAGGGAGTTATAGCGGAGGTGGTAGCTGTCCCTGCCCCCTCTGCACCGGGAGGTGGTAGCTGTCCCTGCCCCCTCTGCACCGGGAGGTGGTAGCGGTAACGAGGTCCGACTGAGGCGAGTAGTCCTATACCGACGGCTACCCGGCGAGGGCTGCGGTCGGAGCTGGCCGGACGATCGATGGAATGAGGCAGCGCCAACGCCCTGCACTGTCTCCACTGTGCTAACGCTAGTGTACTAACGTTAGCCATCCACAGCACTAGCGCTGGCCATCCACTGTACTAGCGTTGGGCATCCACTGCACTAACGTTACGTCCACTGAACTAACGTTGGCCATCCACTGTACTAACGTTGGCCATCCACTGTACTAACGCTGGTCATCCACTGTACTAGCGTTGGCCATCCACTATACTAACGTTGGCCATCCTCTGTATTAATGTTGGACATCCACTGTTCTAACGTTAGACATTCACCGTTTTAACGTTAGACGTCCACTGTTCAGACTGTAGAGTATATATCCGGAGGGCGTTACCGTGAGGCCGTCAGAGAATCGTTTCTCCCGCGGACACGGCTGACTATTGCCGCCGGTGCGTGGCCGTTTCTCGGCGTCAGTCTCAGGTTGTGCTGTTTCAGCCGTCAGCCCGCCAGTCCTGTGGTCTCCAGACTGTATCCCCGGCCGTCAGACACCGTCCGCCGACCGCCGACGTTCCGACCGTCCGCGACCGTCGCCACAAACCACCTATCTCTATGCATGACCCCCGCCGGCATACCGCGCCTCGGACGACCGCCGGCGACTGGGCCGTTTCCGGGCGTAACTTGGCGACCTGTTTATCTTCCACTTCCGTCGCGGCCTCCGGCGGTACTGCGCGGCGGCCGGGACCGACTGCCAGCGGCGGGCAGACGCTCTCGGCGTGGGCCTCGGTGGGTGGGACAGCTAGCAGTGGGGCGCGTCACTCGGCCCTCAAGGGAGGTCGGCAGCTCGGAGAGCCGCGCCCGCGGACGGCATTTTCACGGACTCTGAAATGGCGTGCTCTCTAGCGCCTGGGGCCGTCCCGTGGTTCACTGGTGTTACGTGCCGGATAGAAAGTCCCCATCCGCCGGTGACATTTCACGAGACTAAGTTAATTTGCAGCCTAAAGCGTGAGGAGGCGTGA